TCGTGCGAGGCATTAATGTCACGATGTACAGACTAGCCATCTTGGCGGATGACGGCCTTCTGTCGACCACTCCGTATCTGCCTCTCAACGTGGTGTTGAGCCAACCTGAAGTCCTTCATCTGCACTCTGACGTGAGGCGAAGAACCGAATCTCGGCGTGGATTGTGTTTGACCCCGACGAGGTCAAGTCGGGTTAGAAGAACCTTTGGTCAGCAAGCTCAAATCCGAATGGGTGGCGTGAGCCTTACAGACGAGGACGATGGATCACTTATCGACGGGACGTGGTCGTGGGCGGCGTTTGAATGGGCTTCGACGGACGTCTCTCTCAACGCGAATCCGGAATCGCGCTGAAGGAGACTCCGAAGAGCATTCAAGTTTGAGCAAGTACAGGCAGGCGACTGTCATTTGACTGTCTCGAGCGTCGAGTAACTATTTGCATAGTTTTGGACGTATGTCTTCGTCGTCATTATGTATACCATTTTAGACTGTTAATCATATCCACTAGGGAACTCCGCGCTTGTGATGCTCTCGGATTTCGAGCGGTGACGGATCCCGGGACCCCACTCTGGCTATCCCAAATCGGACGAGCATGCGCGAAGAAGACACCCCGCCCCAAGAGCCGCGCCTTATCTGCGGATCTCTAGTCAGCTGTCTAGACGGTACGCACCCCAGATCTCCTCCACGGAGCGCGATATCGATATAAGAGCTGGCCACGACGGTGAGGGAACTTCCCTCTCGGACTCTTCCCATGCTGCATGAAGTTCCAGCAGAACTTTGCGCTACTTTGACTGTGCATATGCGCGGGTGCGTTTCCGGAACTCGGTGGGCAGCGGATTGGTAGGCCTATCGGTCTTTGGGGCGTCAGCGTGCTACTGCTTCCAGCTGCGGGCCCTAGTCTAGGTTTTCTCTGCGCCGTGTACTGGGTTCAGCTTGGCTGTCTGTGAATCGGTACTGTGTCTCGCCCCGGGAGGAAGGATCGTGACGCCGCGTATGTTCTGTTCGGCCGAAGCAAACTTTCGAGGGTGTCCACTTCGCGGGCCAGACAAATGCTCCGAGACGAAGGGCAATCGAGATGCGGTCCTCTGGCTCGGACGATTGCAGGTGGTGTCGGCCCTATCGCACGTCGCGCACCGACATTATTGGTTTATCAGGTGAGCAGTGCACCAGGCTACCATGACGGCAATGACATGCTCACGTCGATCCAAGGTCTTTCCGCATCTGTAACCGGCATGAACGAAGGCACGCGGTTTTGTGAGTACGGGAGTGATCAGCTGCCCGCACCGGCCGTACCGAAAAGGCAGCGCGCCATGGAGATTCACTTCGTCACGGCATTACGTCTTCCGTTTGCACAGGCGTTGCCATGTGCGTCCTTCAGGTAAGTCTTTGCCTTCCTTGACCTCACCGTTACACACGTCCTGACTACGTCCGCGCAGGCTGGTGCGGGGCTGCACACATGGGTTGTGGTGTATTCCTACCTTTGTATGGGCCGTGTACCGTAGCAATACATGCTTGTACTCGTGCATGACATCGTTGACTGCGTGCGTAAGACGGTGCCGCGAACAATTCTGCGCAATTCGCGGCCGTGTGGTGAGTTCTTATTACGATGTCTCTTCACTTATCATACAAACGCCGTCCAGACTCCCAATTGTGGCCGAGATCATCAGTATGGAAGGCTAACCTTGGCGAATACAGCCTCCAGGGCCACCCATCAAGCTACGCTATCGGATTGATATCGAGGACGTGCAAAGAAGCTATATGTTACGAACTGCACGGGCGACGAAACTCCCATTGGGCGACATTAAGTAGGTTCGCTCCTGCGGCAGCTTGCAAGATGAAGCACACCTATGATTGTCGGGAAGGAGAGTACGTACAGCACGCTGTTTTGTGGACTGTGTCACTTGATTCCGCCCGTTTTTCTAGACTGAAGTGCGCTCAGGCTGAACCTATGTACGCGCCAGACGTGACCTCGGGGGAACTCGGATTTGCACCAAACCGCGGGTGGACTCAATAATGACCGCGAGCGTGGACAGGCGTGGACAGGGGCGTCATGCTGATGTCAAGCATGGTCGAGAAGGGTCTGCAGCTGCGTCCCATGGCCCCTTCGCCCGTTGCGCCGAGCGTTCGAGTCGGTTCGCCCGCTGGTCCCGGCAACTTCCGAGGCACCTGGACCGACGCACCAGTGCGGGGCTTGCCTTTCGCGGCGCACCCGTCCAGTTTTCAGCCTCCCCGCATTCGGACGGATCGATGTGCGCGTGCTCGACCGTCTTGCGCAGGTACAAATCCATGTCCAGGCGTGCAGGCTGGGGCCCCGCACCTGTTGCACCTCCCCGCATTGCCCGTTCGCGACCACGCTGCCCCTGTCTCTGAGCCTCCTGGCTTCACGCGCACTGGCACTCGCTGCAAGCACCAGCAATGATTGCGAAGGTTCCTGCGTTGGACTTGGAAGAGCCTGTCGTCCTCCATGAGGACCTCGCGACGACATTCACCGGAGTCGTCCATCCCGTTTCCACTGCTGAGGCGCCCGTGCACCAGTATCGCGGGATCCAGTACGCTAGCATACCTGCGCGCTTCCGTCAGTCGAGGTTAAACACCATCTACCCTCTCCTGACGGATGCCAGTCACTACGGGTGAGTTCAAGATGGCTGTGTGGGCGAGCCGTACGCTGATTCTGGTCTGCTTTAGTCCTATCTGCCCGCAGCCAAGACATCCAGGCGCGGACGCACAACTCTTTGGCATATCTGAGGACAACATCCCTGTCCAAGTCCTCAAACAAAATGAACTCGATTGTCTAAACCTTAATATAACCTGTCCTGGCGACGCGACCCCAGAGTCGCGTCTGCCTGTCATGCTTTGGATACACGGGTACGTGCACGCGACTTAACCTACCTTACGCCTTCTCATCGTCTTGCAGGGGCGGAACCCGTGGCTCGGGTTCAAAATGGGTCTACGACGGCGGCGCCTTCGTGCAAAAGAGCATGCTCATTGGCAAGCCAGTGATCATGGTCACCTTCAAGTGTGTACAGTCCTTCCCCTCTGTATTGCAGGTGTTCATGTGATCTCGCAGCTATCGGCTTGGTCTGCTAGGCTTCGCTGCCAGCCCTGCTCTGCGCGAGGACAACAAGGCCGCAGGCGACGAGGGCGTCGGTAACTACGGTACGCATGTCTCTGTTCATCGTCATGCATAGCGACCCCGCGTCTGACATCATTCATTCAAAAGGCCTCCGTGACCAGCGCCGAGCGCTAGAGTGGGTTTACCACTTCATCTCAGCATTCGGCGGCGATCCCTCGAATATCACGCTCTTCGGCGAGTCAACAGGCGCCGCCGACATTCTCTGCCACCTCCATTCTGCCGCAAACGAAAAGCAGCCTCTCTTCCGGCGCGCCATCGTTCAGAGCGCCAACATGGATCTCGAGCTTCCGACCGTCCACACCGCGGGCTGGCACATGTCCAGATACATGGCCGCGTTGCACGTGCAGAGCGTCGACGAGCTCCGCGCCCTAGAAGCGGAGAAGCTCGTCGCGCTCGGTGGGAGCGTGCGCGCCGTCGACGACGGCGTGTTCTTCCACAAACACTTCTCGGGCTCTCTCGTCCCTGAGGCTGAGCAGCCAGCAGAACACCGACGCGGCCGACCGCACCATCCCCCACACAGTTACACCCACAATCACCTACGCCTCCCCTCCCGTTCTCGATCGCGTGCGCGTCACACGCCCGTGTCGGCGCACCACCAGCCGCTCCTCATCGGCGACTGCAGCGACGAGGCGCTCCTCTGGGCGCGCCCCGCCTCAAATTGGTCCGCGACGGCGCTCGAGCGGCGCGTGCGCGCGGTCTGCCAGTCGCTCACGAAGGCGAGCGCGCTCCTCCGCGCGTACGACATCCACCCGCACGCGCCGCCAGAGGAACTGCACGCGCGCGTGCTCGAGCTCATCAACGACGCGCGCTTCGCGTGGCCGACGGAATGCGTCGCTGCGCATGCGCGACGCGAGCGTGGCGGGCGCGGCGTGTACCGCTACGTGTTTGACCAGGAAGGACCCGGGCGCGCGGTCCCGCATCATGCAGTGGATCTGGTGTATCTCTTCGATAATGTCCCGTTGCCGACAGTCGCGTCGCAGAGCCCTGCGCAGCTCATGCCGGAGCACTTTGACTCGGACTCCGACGACGAAGACTCCCCGAGGCAGCTCTGCGGCGAGCATGCCTACATCGAAGTCCACGAGCACGTCGCCGTACACGGCCACGCGCTCGCGCCGTGCCTCGCGAGCCTGAGCGCGCTCACGCTCGACGCGGAGACGGACAGTGGTGCGTCTGACTCGGACATGTCGACCGACAGCGGGTTCGCGGACGACTGGGGCGTGCCCGTCGTGGACGACTACGCGTACTCGCGCGTGCGCGACGCGATGCAGGCGCGCTGGCTCGCATTCGCGTGGGGCGAGGCGCCGTGGGCGGAGGATAAAGTGTTTGTGTTCGGACCCGAGGGCGAGACGGGCGAGCGGTCGATGAGCATTTTCGAGGGACGGAGGAGGGCGAGGGTGTGGAGGGAGGTGTTGGAGCCGCTCGGGATGCAGCTCGTGCAGAAGGTCGGCGCGGAGCTTGCGAATGGCCCGGTGGTGCCGGTGAGGGGGCACTGGTGATGAGTGGCCGGTGGTTATTACACCGACGGTTTATGCGTTTGGATCTCTTTGACTTCTAGGGTTTCTTCAATTGGGCTCATCGTTGTGTTGGCATGCATCATCTTACACTCACATCATATCGTCTATGTATTCCACGATCTCTGCATGGACATGTCCGTAACATCCACAATAATGTACTCGCATGTAACATATACGTGTATCTAGTAGTGTAATGCAACTCGGTTCTGATTAAACTTCCAAAGATGCTTGTTTCCGGTGTATATATAAGTAGTTGAGGATTGTGCCGTGCCCTCGGCTTTCAAACTCCGGCGGGTGCCATTGACCGCCACCGCGGTCGACCCGTGTATTATACAGTTCAAGTTGCCTGCATTCCGACCTTCTCCCACAATGATTGCATCGGCTCACTAGTAGGCATGAGCTACTAGTGTAGCGCTTGCTTATATGTGGCCGAAACTGTAGAAGGGCTGAGGTGCGATCATGAACAAATTCAGGCTGCAATCACCGTGTACGTATACCTACTCATTTCGAAGAGTGCAGGAAGGCAGTTTCCGGACTCCGTTGCATGTGGGCCGGTACTAGACCAGTCGGTCAGAGAGCCGCTCCGAGTCTGATCCCACGCGCAGATAGCATGGGTACCACAAGCGTTAAGTATTAGCGGGGTACTCGACTGACAGTACTGCCACGCCGCTGTCTCTCCCTCATACGTCCCCAGACAGGTACGTCTCATTCGATACTCCTGTAAATTGGGGATGCTCGATACTCATGCCAGCCTGGCAGTGGATGTTATACTAGATGATGTCGGACCTTGACGTCAGTTCAGCACCGGTACAGGCTCTCAGTGGAGTTGGTCTGTCCTTCAATTTCGGCGCAAACGTTGCTCATTGCTTGATCAGATCCATCCGACGCTCCCATCCATGCCTTTGGCACAGACGTCGAAACGGTACCCCGCATACTGTATGGCGCAAATAATGACCGCCACGGAGATCGTGATGATGGTGAAGATCACTGTCATCTTCACGCGACCAGACAAATCAGCAAAGAACGGTCTCTCCAAGGCTCCTTGCCGCTGACCCTTTCTGATCGCATCCCAATCGAGACCTTCGAAAACATCATCGACTGGATGGAAAGCCACGCCCTGCTCGCCGCGGCATTAGTCAGTCGGGTCTGGCATCCTCGCGCCGTTCATAACCTCTATCATACCGTGCGTCTCCAGTCACGCAAAGACTTCGACCTTCTGGTTCATCAGCTGCAAACGTCACCTCGCATCAAGCAGAGGTTATCAACCACTCGTGAACTATGTGTTCATCGCGACTATCCTGATCTATTTCATCGCGACTATCGTCGAGCCTGCTTGGAGCAAGGCCTCGACTCCCTAAATCTGGATGTCCTGCCTATTGTCTTTGCCAATTCACTGCCCGCTCTGCGAGTGCTCGACATCGCTGGGTTTTCGCATCCTCCCATGCACCCAACTTTCTACCTTGCATTGTCTCACTTCAAGCACGTTACATCGTTGCGGTTGCATGGCATCATGCTTAGAAACGTTACTCAGCTGCAACAGATCATCTGCGCGCTCCTGGGGCTGAAAGAAGTCGTTTTGGAACTCCTGATACCGATACATCAGTTCTCTGGTACACGATTCCGGACTCCATGTGAAACGCGACTCAAGCGACTCGAAGTCCATGCAGACCCGGCGGACTCAGATGAACTGATCACAAGCATACATCCATTCGATCCAATTATCACCTGGCTTGTAGACTCAGGAGTCTGCAGCTCCCTCTCCGAATTGGTGATATCCCGGGTCTTCAGAGATGATCCCTACCCGGGCCCCTACCCGCGTTACCGCTACTGCTCGAACGGTCTTTTAGCCAAACAAGTTAATCGACTGCTCGAGACGAGTGGGTCATCTCTGACCTCTTTTCGTGGTGATCAAAATGAATTCCGCTTCCGTGGTAAGTTCCCTCTACCGTCTTCGTTTGTCAACCGCCGGCGCTAACTCTTGGACAATCCGAGACTCTCGATCTCCTTTCAGTCTAGTGCACAACACGACTTTAAGTCAATTGATATTGTACCTCTACCCTCGGGCTGGACGGAAGACACGCGCGTGGCAATTGGCAAGCCAGCTGCATGCTATCCTTTACACCGTTCGGAGCCATGAGCTTCGTCACATCGCCATCCATCTCAGGGGCCTGAGCCCCGAGAACCTCAAGGAGCATGACCTCGCTGACACTCCGGCTTTGCGGAACTATCACGACGTCATGGAGAAGCCGTGCTTCCGCGCATTGACGGACGTCCACGTCAAGTTAGAATTTACTTCTAGGCCTCATGCACATGACCTACTCTGCAACGATGCGCACAAACTGGACTACCTCGCGATGTTGACGAAGACCATATTCCGGCCGATGCTCTTACCGTGGCATGATCGTGGTATAGTCAGCATCGATTACGCGGGGTAGAGGATGCTCAGTCGCTCCGCACATAATCCTTGATAATGTGAGTGTACTCAATCTGTCCGCCTGACGCTGACTGAGTCTGCAATGGCTTGCGCAGGACGCATGGCTTATTACGCACAAACACCATCGTATACCATACCTACATCATCTTCACGCCCTCCCCGTCTATCGAAAATCAGACCAACGTGCTCCGGGAGCTACCGAATCCCCGTCGTGTCTATTATGCTGGTGTGCTCATATGCAAGTTACGTTGAATACTCTGCTTTATTCATGTCGCTCAATCCCCATAAGAGTGAGAGCGCAGAAATTCCCAACCCATTAGTGGTTTCCGTACCCAGATAGTGCTTGTATTCTTCGTCACGTCATGCCTTGTCGCATTTGCACTGCCTGACGTGTGAGGCTACGCGTTTCGGCACTGATCCACGCCAACGCGCTATTCGCAACGACGAATGTGAACAAGGCGCCGCGATCCGGCTTTGAGTCTGCGCGAGTTCGTTCAGGCTCATTACGCCGTTCGAGGCCGAAAAGTAGCACAAGGCTACCCGTCTGCATGTGACGTGGGCTCAGCCGGTGAAGTGGATATACAACTGGTCGGCAGCTGGGAAGGAAGGGTAGGAAGCACAACCTTTAACAAGAGTGCTAAGCTAACGAAAAACTTAGCATCGCGAAGCGGGTAGAGCTAGCACGTACATTAAATTTATTGTTAGACGCGTCGCTGCCCATGCACGGTGTCAATGAGCCTGAGTGACGCGGCGTATACCCTTGTATGCCAATCCTTCCAGGGGTTAAGTAGAAGGGGGATTCCGAGTCGGGCTTCCCGTTGGTTGGGACGTTGAAGTCCACCGCACGAGCATACGCCGCGGTCCACGGCCACTCGGAAGCGCTGTCTCGCAAGCCTCAACGCGCTCACGTTCCACGCAGAGACAGACAGTCGCGCGTCGGATTCGGTTATGTCGACGTCGATGTACTGCTGATTTATATATCTGCAACCGGGTGGGCCCACCCTGGTCCGTTATGCGTACTCGCATTGGCTCGTGTTCGCGTATGCTGTGGCACGTATCATCAATCGCGTTTTGGTCTCAGGTTGAACCCTGTAAAGCAAAATCATAGGTTAGCAGCACATGATGGGAGCACGCATACCGTTGGCATTGACTCCGTGTAAGTCTTGTAGGAGTTCACGACCACGGGAAGACTTCAAATGACAATCGCATGGCTTGGGGCTCGAGAAGTAAACGATCTGCATTGTTATGCAGCATCCGGACGTCGTTGTATACACAATGCACATAATGTATCAGACCCAGCGTCAGAGAACATCCTGCATCCACGGATGGGCAAGGAGCTGTGCCGCCGACCACCGCTCTTCTGGATCGATGGTCAACGCATGGAGAAGGAAGTCGACTACCTGTGGTAGCTCTTCGGCTGGATGGCCTGCCCGGGAAAGCAAATCTTCGAGGGTTATCCCGTACGCAGAAGGTCGGAGGAGGTGACCTGAAAGGAAGTCTAGAATTAGGGGTGATCAGGTTCCGAGGACGTGACCGCCTTACCCGATTCATCGAAGTACTGCTTAGCAGCAACACCCTTGGCTACAAAGCTCTGAGGGAAGGGGCCGAGCAGACCGACCATTTGTGAGAGATGTGTTTGCGTGTGGTCCATGCCAGTCTCTTCGTTCTGCCACGCAGGATCAAAGAGAATCGCGCCTCGCGCGAATTCGTACATCTGCAAAGCGGACTAATTAATCTGTGAGTTCGTGCATCGCAAAATGACTTACGAGGCATCCGAAGTTCCAGATATCGGTCTTGGTATCCCATGGTGCACCGATGAGAACCTCGGGGGATCGGAGAGCCAGGGGTTGGATCACCGCGGCCCATTGACGGGATGTCGTGTTCGCTAGAGACAGATTAGAATCAGAACATGCGAATGTCGCAGCACTCACCTGAGCCGAAGTCCGTGAGCTTGTAAGTTGTGCTGAAAAGATCCATGATCTCGATATCCTTCGTAGTCTGGTCCTCTGCGAACCCGATCCCAGTCAATAGTATGTTGTCGCCCTTGATATCTATGACCTGTTTAGTGACCGACGTGACGTAGAAGACATAGCTCACCTGTATGGATGACGCCACACTCGTGCATGTATTGAAGGCCCTGGAGGACCTGCTTTGCTATGCGTTGAACTAATATCAACGGTAGGGAGCTAGGGAAGCTGTGGTACACATCAAGAACGCTCAAACCAAGCGGTTCAAGAATGAGACAGGTGTGTTTGCCAGTCGCCGGCCCGTGATGAACAAAAGAGTCGAGCAATTGACAGACGTGAGGCTTTCCGGGCGAGCTGGATGGACCACTTTGGAGCATGCGCAGGACACCAAGTTCATCAGGACCCTTGTTATTGTCGGACAGCCAAGATACCATGACCTTCATGGCGAATTCTTGCTCTGTTCTGAGAGTCGTCAATGTGCATCGTCAATGCTAGCTTGCATTATAGTGAAACATTACGAGCCTAATATCACGAACAAGCCAAACCGTGGAGTGCGTTCCATGACCCAACATCCTCAGAGCTCGATACTTCTCGTTAAATATCTCACCCTTAGCAACGGGATAGAATTTGGTCTGATCTAGGTCGAGAGGCAGGGGTGTGGACATGCGAGTGATGCGAATCATTGAGCCAGAGTCAGACCGGCGCGCGGACTGATTGGATGTTCCCGATATATAGTCTCGCAGGGAGGAGAAAGCGCGGTACATGGTGACGGCGACCCCACTGAGCGAGCGTACGACGTCGTAAAGGGTAATGAACGTTGAGAACAGAAGCTTCAGCCATCGGCAAGCATATCATGTACTGGCGCTCCCGATGCGGGCGCTTGCCATCTAGTACATACTTGGTCTGAAAAGCTTCCGCGATGGTATGTACTTAGGCCGGCCGCCGTCATAAATGCTTGCGAATGGGAAATAAACCGTGGATGGGAATTGAAAGTAGGGGCTCCGTACGTGCAGACACGATGAAACGAGACTGGTCAGGAATCATAGTAACAATTGCAAGTTCAAGTTGTGCAGCGTCGAGGCTCTCTGTGATGACAAGTCCGTAATTCAGTGGTTTCCCAAAGAGCCTCTCTATCTACATGCTCAACTATCCATGACAGAGGCGGGGCGCATGCATTTTGCGGATTCGACTTCTAGTGGGCCAACATTGATCGTACGCATGGCATCTATGACATCGTACACGACATTTGTGGACTAACTCGACCCGAAAGATCTCCAAATTCTCCGTTGACAGGAGTATAGCGTGACGGATACTGGCCGCAGCTTGCAGTACTTGTTGGCATCACACCAATGTGTTTGCATCTTTCTGTCGAATGCCATATGTTCAACTTCAAGCAGACCCATATAAACGCTCGTACTTACAAACTCCTCCAATTTCCAGAGGTAACATACCTTCGGTGGTTTTTTGGGGACCAATACCGAAAAGCCAGGTCGCTCTTTCGGTACCAATGCCACAAAACCAAACACCAGACGGACATGCAGCCCTGCAAGTAGAGAGCAATGCAGCCGTGACAACAGTGGCCGCACCACCAACGACTTGACCACCCGTGGAGCCCAGTGTTTATTCCCCCGCTCCAGACCGAGAGTCAGGACTATGGAGACGACCAAGTGGGGGTTTCGCTTGTGCAGGAGCGCGAGAGTCTCATCAAATCTCGGCCAATCCATGAATGACCACTGAGGGGCGCCATTTGAAAGCAGTGTCTGAATGATAGGCACGTGGAGAGCCCGCAGACTGTTGGGAGTGCGAGAGAGAAATACCAGAAACGTCGGTGGAAACTTGTAGGTAGGCAAGTCGACGGTTTGAGAGCGAATTAGAACGACACCCAAGAACTTGAGGAGCGAGTGCTGAGATAGATCCATTGTCTCGAGCACTGTCAGGGACACTGGTTGGTTAATCATAGGTGGCAGTCATTGAGAACGTACGTACGGCCCGAATTCGCTGCACAGTGCACTGTGAGTTCCTCCAAGGTGTCCTTCGCTTCGTCCACCATTCCTAGGAACGACGTCTCCTCTGCCCGGTCACTTGACCAGCCCCACACAAATTTCTGGAAGGCGCATTTGAAAGGCGGTTGCCTGAGCACACTTAGCACCCACAAAGGCACTGGGTGCGTCGACGAGGCGATCGACATCTCCCGGATACAGATCTTAGAGTCCGAGGTGGCATTTCTGTTTGCCGGTAATCGCGCGGGCCCATGGAGTAGTAGGCTCTGTAGAGGAGGACGCAATTCCCGCAGATGCAGACATGACACTTGCGGAAAAGCGATGAGAAGGAGTAAGATGTCAGACGCCGAATCCAATGTGGTTGACATAACGTGTAGCGTCTGCAACCGCGGTAAGGTGAACAGTGATTGAGGCGGCTTATCGGGATATTCGTCGTCCAAGGCGTCGCCCGTATGCATCTTGGGCCTACATTTGACATCCACGCCAACCAGCCGCAAGCAATTCACATTGGGCAATGCCGAGAGTACTTCTTCCAGGAGTGGTACATCGGACGCCACGGGATCCTCAGGGACATCGAGATGCAGGCGAACTTCGGTGAGTGTGACATCGCGGACGCATTGCGCCACTCCAGTGCCAGTCGATGAGGATGAATGGATGATGTATTGGAATGCTCTACAGCGATCGACGCCCTTCAGCGAGACCGCTTTGAATAGGTATCGCCGCGTCCTTGGTACCCATGCCCGCTGCGTCAATGCGCAGGCTCGGAGGGTCGGAAAATTGGATGACAGCTCGTCGATGATGTCGTCCCATAGTTCGGGTGGCAGCGCAACGTGTAATGGTTGCGAGCCCATCGCACTAGACAATATACAGGTGCGTGCGCAGCCTCCAGCCAGTTCGTGAGTGCATTACGGATGCGACGGTAAGAGCAGCTCTCACGGAATGTCAGGTCTTTAAGCCGCGGTACGTTCACGTCTTGACCAAGAGTTCGCGCTCAGCGTAGCTGTGCGAGTGCTACAACCAAGGGCCGCAGAATCACCCAAAATTTGGATTCAATCACCGAATTGCATCTGTTAGAGAATATTATTCCCCGCCAGATTGTAGGACATACCTGCGAGGCAGAAGAAGGCAGCGAAACCCTGAGGAGGGAGTTAGAGACCCCTGATCAATCGATCTGATCAAGTGCGGGTCAGTAAAGCTGATGGGCGTTGCATTCACACGATCCTGATTCTAGGTCACGCAATCATGCCTGTGGCGTTCAGTCAGTGTCAAGGCATATGTCTATGCGTGAATATTGCAACCGACGACGCTGCAATGGGCTTGACAGCGCGATACAGACTCACGAAACCTTTGAAATCGGGGAGTGTGCAATGCATCCTGGCTCCGGCATGTGGGCGTCGATGCACTACACCACACCATATCATCGCACTACACGGAGGCATGCTGTGATAACAACAATGGTAGCGATGTCTCGTCAAGAGAACCGTTCCTAGCGTCCGAGTCGGTTCAACCTGATGCATCACCAAGTAATCGCGAGAGTGGCAAGCGTGTTCAGAATTCGAGGAGCATGAAAGAGGCAGAGGATAGGTGGATAACAGGCGACAGGAGTCGACGTTGAGCGTAGACTGCGACCTGCGAAAGGAGTCAGCAGCCCACCGGACGTGTGAGAGAAAGTACTATGCATACCTCATTGTCTCCGTTCAGATACCCAACTGGCCCGTTCGTTGTAGGGCATGCACTGCTGCTCAACAAGGATCAGACAAGGGCTAGATATCAACATAGAGCAGCTTACCGCGCAATGATTCCACGGCATCATGAGGTATAGGAAGCCAGCAGGACAGTCCGGAGTCGTCAAGAGGATGCGTGAGTGGACCACCCCTTACCACCGCTTTGATCATCATGCCCGCAACCAGGCTGTTACGTAGCCGATCCACCAATGGCCCGACGATGTCGGGAATAGTATCTCCGTCGGATTTAGACGACGTGAGGTCGAAGGTAACCCGCAACGCAGGTTTCTTCTTCGCGAGGACGGCTAGAGAGCGATCGAGATCCGGCCAGTCAAAGAACTCCCAGGACATACGCTCCACAAGGGGTACGGGGAGCCTTATGTAGAAGGTTAGGTCGCGCAAACGCCCGAGATGGAGACGAGCCAGGAAGGTCGGAAGAGCGGTGTACGGCTTGCTACCCACGTCGAAGCAACCGTACGAAAATCCAAGAAGAAGGGTTTGCAGGCTGGTGTGCTTCGTCAAGTCGGCCTGTCGCAGGACTAAACAAAGTGAATACAACGCATTGAATCGCGCCATAGATACACTCACACGAGTCGTTCCAGATCATGAGGTGTAGGTATTCGAGAGACTGCTTTGATGACATAATGGCATCGAACATGCGAGGGTCGTCGCCGCCAGCGTAAAAACAGTCCACCTGTCGTAGATGAAGCTCGAATGGATACCGTGATAAACCACGTAGGACGATCGCCGTGTCTATGATACCGGAGGCTACAACGAGAGATGTGATGGTCGTAAGAGCGGGCATACTTGCTGTGTCATTTGCCTTGATATCCAGTGTCGGGTTCTCCAGGTCTAGTGGTTGGTCGATTTGCATGTTCATGAGTACTAGTCTCGTGAGGGACGGAAAGCATGTACAGAGCGTCCAGAAGTCTGCCCAAGTCCTGAAAGACACCATGGAGATACTAAGGCTCGAGATCCAAAATGAAGAGAACAGAGAACCTATAAAGGTAGCATTGATGTCCACCTGTTCATCGTAAGAAGCCTCGGAAACCCAGGCGACGAGTTCGTTGTAGTTGCAGGAGGTCAACTGCAATGAATCGATGTTCGGCAGGTGACGAAACGCCCATCGAGCAGCGTCGCGCCATTCAGGCCGAGTGTATCCATCAGAGCTGAACTTGACAGTCCGGACATAGTCTTGTATGCTGGTGCCTGCCGCTACCGACGACTTCAGAATGGCAACGAAGGAGAGACAGTGATCGATATCTGTAAGGATGACGTTCTCGAAGAGGTGACGACGAGCCCACGGAGCCCACGCCCAGCAAGTCAAGCTGCACGCCGACAGAGAACGACGGTCGTCGCAGAGGTCGTCCAGTATGTTCCGACAAAGTTCCGGTGGGAAGACTGGTATCGACAGTGTCGTCGACAGAGCGCTCTGTGTACGAGGAACCGCATATATGCGTGTTTTTACGTGAGCTCTCGTGAAAGGATAGCACATACAACGACTCACCCGAACAGACGGTGCCATTTTCGCGCCAGAGTCCGACGTAAATCTCCTCCAATGATCTTCTGACGACTCGACTGTTTGAGCACAGCTAGAGCACAAACTTCCGACACAAATCTGAAGCCACGAAGCCTGGTGGTAGGTCCAGTATAAAATAGAACTACGAGCCGGCGCACGCGTGCACTGCGATGCGATAGTCGTTGGGAGACGAGGCAACTTCGCGGAACGGCGACTCGTAATTAGTTGCAGGCGGCCCTCTTCAAGCAGCCACATGGCAAGCGTGCGTGGCTTCAGATTCAGATCGGGGCGGACGTGCCAAACGTATGCCCAACGTACGCGTACTATGCACAGGGTCACTGGCAAATATTGCCAACGTACTATGCCAAGTACTGAGAATATGCTCTCTGTTAGTTGATCTGTCTGATGTGCTCCGTTCAATGGTGCAGTCTAACGCGACAGAGGAGAGCTGTACAGTACCCGAGGCGGGGGAAAGCGAAGAGCCTGTGGCTGAACGGACGTATCGGATCTGCGTAGTTGCAATCCGGCGGAGGGTCGATATCGAGATTGAAATATTGACGTTGGGCAGTCGAGTGAAGGTCCTGTGCAGCAGCAGCGCGTTCCCGTCGTCGTGTAGACCACCCAACCTACACAACAGCTGCCCTGGTCCAGCGATCATCACCAGGTAATCTTCAAATCTTCACGTAATGCGCGATCGTTGACTTTGATACTTAGCTCCGACGAGTCGAGTACGTCTCGAAGGTAGAGACAGCGACGCTGAGAACCAAACCCGATAGCGCGGAAGAGTTGACGACGCGAAAGAAGTACACAGGCTGAACAGGTTAGACTTCAATTCGGAGAGCGGATAGGTCGTCCCGCAACGGGTCGACGACGTATGCCCATATAGCTCCGGCGGGGGCTTGAGGCGATGTATAAGAGGGTTCCTTGACATTCCTGCCGACGCAACGGGTGATAGACCCTGCATATACCAAAGACTAGAGTAAGCAATGGATCGGTTGCAGGTAGACTGAATCGGGCGATGACATACAGTGCCACTGCGTGCCACTGGCCTGGACCGCCGAGTTCGTGAGCCATCGTTAACTTGTAGCTATTGCTGATTGATATCTCCGTAAGTTCAAAGCACATCCAGCAACATCATGATACTTACACCGAGCTGTCCTACCTTCAACCGGAGCAGGAAGAGGACGGGATTATCTTGATTGAGGAGTATCACAATATTTGCACGTTATAACCACATCGCACAGACGCTGGATCTGCCGCCCACGTTCACTTAAGTACATCTCGTACTTACTACGAGAAAGATCCAGGTGGTATCCACTGTCTCAGACTTGGCTAACCGATCCTAGATCGCGATGTCTCGTGTCATTGTTATTGTGAAGGAATCATGTGTGCAAGACTCACACAGCGGAGGGAGCACAAGGCGGCACGTTCTTTAACCGCTGCAACCGAGAGGGTAAGCACAGTATCGAACGTCTGGACAGGAATATAATACATTGCATCTAACGGGACAAAAGCAACGACAGCACGCGTACACGGCAGGATATCTGATGATACAAGTAGTAATGACACACCGCCCTTCTCGTTCGTGTATAGACAAGCGTCAAGATCAGACTTAGCCGATGGCCATAGGGGCATCCACCGCTTCACTGACCTCGCGCAGAGCTGCATCCTGAGGGCGCATCGAGAAGATGACGTCCTTTAGCACTTGCGCGATCAGCCCGTGTTGCGCCTCCGTAGCCAGCTTCTCGCTACGGATGTACATTCGTCAGTCCGGATCCACACGCAAGAGGCGGAAGACTGACCTATCCTTGGCACCCTTCAGCAGCTGGTTCTGGTCCTCTTTTTCTTCTCTTCCTTCTGCTCGCCACCGTCAACATCTGGGATGACCGCGAGCAGCAAACTAACCTTGGCAGCCTTGTCATCTTTTCAGC